CGCCTTATGCTTCAGACAATTTTCTCATTTTTTTAGCATCAACTATATAAGACAAAAAGCTGAAAATTTTTTTTTTTTTTTTCGAAAAAAAATTTAAAAAAATTTCATAGTATTTTACATAGAAAAAGGAACATTTTCTTTCTTGTGCACTTTTTTCTCTGATTTGAACTGAGTTATGAACATTTGAAAAAGAAAACATAAATTTTTGAGAAAAATGTTTTAACGCGGGTCACATGCGATGTAAATAATTTTTGAATTAATGACTTAGATAGGATTGGAAAGAGAAAAAAAATCCCGAGCTCAAAATTGTTCTGTGATTTTTTCCCTAGAATTGGCAAGAGATCCAAAATGTACTTAAAATTTCGGAGTTTTCATTGATGAATAATCGTTTGAAAAAATTAGAAAAACCATTTGATTATACTTGTAATAGATACCAATTGAATGCTGTTGCAAAGAGCTTTCAAATGCGCTTCTGCTCGTCTCTGTACATTAGTTTTGAAGGAACATATGAAACTTCAATGTTTGAACAATTTTACTCGAAGGAAGGTAAAAGTACGTGAGCAGCAATATATGTCAGTGAGATTATCCTTGAAGAGCTACAATCTCTTCTTCAATTGAGGCAACATGTTACCGATGATAAGATTAACTTGATCCTGCATGCTCCAGGGAGGATCTATTCTTTTCATAATAGTTAGAAATGAGACAACATACTTGATTAAATATTTACAAAATATCATTATTGTGACCATACGAGGGTGGTCCGATAAGTACTTAGCCTAAAAAAAAAAAACGAAAATTTTAGAAAAGTGATGTTTTATTTTTCAACATAATCTCCTTTTAGTTCGATACACCTGGCCCAGTGATGCTCCAACTTCTTTGACCCATCTAAAAAATACATTTCCTTGAGGTCTGCAAAGTAGGCCTCCGTGGCAGCGATTACCTCCTCATTCGATTCAAATTTCTGCCCGGTGAACGACTTTTTCAAGTTTAGAAACAAAAAGAAGTCGCACGGGGCCAAATCTGGAGAATACGGTGGATGGGGCAGCAGTTCGTAGCCTAAATCGACCATTTTGGCTATGGTGACAGCGGAGGTGTAGGCCTGTGCATTGTCATGGTGGAAGAGCACTTTTTTCTTCGCCAAATGGGGCCGTTTTTTCTGCAATTCGACGTCGAATCGGCCCAATAATTTGGCATAGTACAGCCCTGTGACCGATTTGCCCCTCTCCAGGTAGTCGATGTAGATCACATCTTGTGAATCCCAGAAAACGGTGGCCATCACTTTTCCGGCCGATGGGGCAGTCTTCACCTTCTTTGGAGTACTTTCGCCGGGTAAAGTCCACTGTTTCGACTGTTCCTTGGTCTCTGCTATATACCAGTGGATCAATATTTCGACGACGGTCACGAAACGACACAGAAACTCTTTCGGATTGCGTCTAAACAGAGTCAGACACTACTCTGAAGTTGTCCCACAGTTGCGCTTGTTGTCCGGAGTGAGCAAACGCGGCACCCATCATGCCTACAGCTTTCTTATGTCCAAAATTTCATGCAGGACATGACCGACACAGTCTTTTGAAATGCCCACGATCTTAGTTATCCCGCGCACCTTCAATCGTCGATCTGCCAATACAAGATCGTGAATTTTTGTCACGTTATCCTCCGTGGTAGCCGTTTTCGGAGAACATGGGCGGGGCTCATTAAAAACCGATGTGCGACCACGTTGAAACTCGTTAAACCAATTTTTTTCGGTCGCCTTCGAAGGAAAAGTCACCGTACACAGCATCCAAGCGCTTTTTGATTTCGCTGCACGATTTTCCTTCCAAAAACAAGAATCGAATCACCGACCGTTACTGCTCTTTTTCCATTTTTCTAACACACCCGTTTTCACACGCGATCACAACAGAACTATGAGTCCGATTCGGCTGAAATTTTGACAGTAACCATCAATAAGGTTGTACTATATGGTAGTATGAATACTGATTTTTATTGGTTCAACAAAGTTACATTGCCATGTTACATAGGAATATGCCTTAAGGAAGACGCGCAATATAAATTTTATATCTTAATATCTATATTCTCTAAAAATTTTGCTATTATAAAAATAACATTCTGGTTACCAGATGCTAACAAAGATATAGCAGAATATGGACCGTATTTGTATATTTTTCTAATTTTACTAAGTAGACTTTGTCTCGGAATATGAGAAAGTTTACATTCCCAAAAGATGTGTTCCACTAAGTCTTCAGAGGAGTTACATTCACAATTTTTGTTTAAGACAATGCCTTTACGGAATAGGCTATTATTTAAAGATGAACGATTGCTTCTTAATTTGTTAATGGACACTATGGCCTTTCTAGGTAAATTGAGATCAAAAAACCAAGGTTTGGTTTTGTCGCTATAAAAGTTTTCAAAATAAAAGGAGCCTTTCGTTCGGCCTAGGCAGACAGCCATGTCTTCGTTTACTTTTTTACATTCTATTTTGTACTTGGCAAAGAAGTCTGTGACTGGGATTGGTTCATTAAGCAGTGACCCATTTTTGGCAGAGTTTTTAGCAATGGAGTCAGCTTGTTCATTTCCCTGTAACCTAATGTGGGCAGGGATCCTCACGAGTTCAATGGAGATATTTTTTTTATAGGCTAACGCGAGCTTACATCTAAGGTTAACTATAAGAGGAGACTCACATTGATTTGAGTTTATAGCTTTGAGCGCACTTTCTGAATCAGAAAAAATAATATAGGCCCCTTGGCCTTTATCAATTATTTTCTGAAGCACAACTAGCAGGGCTGTACATTCAGCAGTAAAGATGGAAGTTGAGTCCAAAATCCTACCTGCAACGCAAAAATCATGGGATATGCTCTATGAAGCAAAGTCGACGCGCGATTCGCCGCACACGTCAAATTTTGAGCCATCTGTAAATATATGAATAATATTGTTGTCATCAGGGTAAGTTTCGTTAAAAAAGTCATTCGGATTCTTTGCTTTAAGAATTTCTTTGTCGACATTAAGTGAAATATTCGGCTTGTGTAACAAATTATTAAAATCGTTGGAATATTTGACGTGTTTAGCTGAGCTAATGATAGAGTCTTTCAAAAACCATATTTTCCTATAGCATTCAGCCATGAGAGAAGTTTTAAAATTGTTACAGGCAGAAAAATAGTCCGCAAGTTGAAGGATATCCTCTAGATTATTTAGAATTATGGTCTGATTAAGGGCCAAACATTTTAGTATATATTTGAAACAATTAAATTTTATCCTAAATTGCAGGTACGGAACCTTGGACTCAGCAGCCATTACATTTATTGGTGTACTATTTCTATATCCCATAGCGATCCTAATAGCTGAATTTTGAATCTTTTGTAAATTTTGTGCATATTTGTCATCACTTGGAGACATGATAAAACCTCCATATTCAATTTTCGATCTTATCAGAGCAATATACAACAAAATCAAAGATTTAGGGTCGGCGCCCCACCAGGTGGATCTCAAAAAGCTAAGAACCTTCTTTACTAGATTTGCACCTATTAGTTAAGCTTATAATATGTTTGCGCCAATTGAGGCGGCGATCTAAGGTCATCCCTAAAAACTTTACATCTTCGGACGGCTCAATGACTGAATTGTCGATTTTTAATTTAATGTTCTTATCTATACGTTTCGCAGAGTTATCAAAAATCATCAACACGCATTTGTCGTGAGCAACTTCAAGTCCTCGCTTTTTAAAAAATATGATTAGCTTAGAGTTAGCTTCTTCAAGTGCACGAACTTGTTCTGAATAATTTGTTTTAGTATTATTGTAGATAACTATGTCATCTGCAAATTCTAAGGTACTTAAGGGAATGTCTACAATCTGACTTATTTTCCTAGTATAAATTGCATATAATACACAGCTAAGAACACTGCCTTGAGCAAGGCCTTTATTTACAATACTTTCTATGATCTTTGTAAAAGTGCAAAAGGTAACTTTTCTTTCGAATATCAAGTTTTTAATGAACACAATAATTTTTTTGGTAAGTCCAATTTCGATCTAATCATCTATCAGTATGTCTGGAATAACATCATTATATGCGCCTTTGACATCAAGAAATAAGGCTGAGGTTGTATTTTTGGTAAAAAAGTTTTTTTGAATATCAGTCGTAAGAATACTTAAATTATCAATACATGATTTATTTTTACGAAACCCGAATTGTGTAGGTGCAAGAACGTCGTGTTTTTCTAGCCACCATTAGAGTCTTTCTTTGACTAATTTTTCCATTACCTTTAAGGACGTTCTCTTGAAAATCAATTTTCTTTAGATTTTCGTCAAACTTTACATATCAGTACTTTTTATCATTATCTACATAATGGTAAAAAGAAAAACATAGGTACCGGTATTAAATTTGGAGATATTCAAGTTCAAAGTTCAATACTTTAACACGTGTTAGATAGGCTTGACTCTATATGACGGTACATTTTCTGAGATTAATAACGCAATTTTCTTTAGATTTTTTTGAAAAACTGGTATATTATTCTAGAGGTTATAACGAATCATATGCAATAATAAAAAACATAGGTACCGGTACTATTTTCGATGCAAGACGTTCTCAAAGTTTGTAACCAGGTGCGTCTCCCGATCGGTCTGCAAGTAAAAACATGGTGACTTGGCAACACCGCATCAGATATATAGATATATAGTACATGCCGGCGCGGCGTATTACGGTTGTTCCGCGAGTCCACACGACTCTATTTGCAACGATAACATTTCAAAAAGTTAAAAGTAATTTCCATTCTTATAACATTCGTAAAGATTATCTACTGTAATTCATTCGTGTATATTGAAAATAACTTAGATTAATTAGGGAATAATTATAACTATAAATAAAGAGTGATCACGTACAACATATTTTATTCATAATATATTTTATATATTATGTCATTATTAAACAAATGAGCACCATTATAAATATTTAAAGCATCACATATTAATTATATAATCTATTAATTATTAAATAACAGTTTATTACAACTATTCACAGGTCAGTCTGAAAAAAGTGAACTAATGTATTTAAAACTTTTATATCTTTGGTAATCTTAACTTTACCTTCACTTTTTTCAGTAAATAATTTATGAATACCATCTGCTCCTTCCTTTTTATATAATTCTAATAGTTGTTGGTATGTAATGTTATATTTAGCTAATTTTTTCAAGTACGTAAGAGATAAAACACCTTTCAATTCTCTCAAGTATTGCAATTTGAAGTTTATCTTATTATTTTCATGTACTTTATTGCAGCAATCATAGTAAGATTTCTGTAAACTGTTAAGTAATTCTTGACACGTGAAATATTTTACTAATTTTTCCAAGACTCTGACATCACCAGTAGCATCATGAAAATTTTCTAAATCTTTGGGCTCTAAATATTTTGTAGCTAGACCTTTTAATGTGAATTGTCCTGGGCCTTTTTTCTTTTCGATGATCAATTTTTTGAAAGCTTTTAGAGAGTCTGAAAAGCCTACAACCACCTCAAAATCTCGTAGCATGTTGCAACTAACTAAACTATTTAAAAATACTCTAATATCAAAGGTAGCATTGTGTGCCACTAATAGATACTTCTTTGACTTTGATAATGATTCTAAAAATTGTTTGAATGCGATTAAAGCTTCTTGCAGATCAACACTTTCAACAGCCTTCCCATTTAGACATAACATACCACCACTATTACTCAAACCTGTAACTTTGGTAGCACTTTTTGAAATTTCTTTGGTTGGATTAACGTAAACACTATATTCATATCTTCCACATTTTGCAGCGATTTGCACTATCTGGGCATTGGTGTCCAAACCAGTTGTTTCCAAATCAAAATACACTAAGAGTGACTTCGCATCAGCATTGCTTTTCTCTGGCATATCAATTTCCATATTGATCCCGCAATTAGTTTAGTATGTGACACCTTCTGCTTGCTCTAGACTTTTTCTCAATGCCTCTCTTTGTTGTTTTAAGATTATTCTTCGTAATTTGAATGCAGCAGATGAGCTTCTGTTTTTTCTTTTCAAGCGTTTACCATCAACGGATTTAGCATATTTCAACGTATACAAGCCTTCATTCAAGTCGATTCTCATTCGAAACTTAGTTGTACATTTTTCACCATCGTTCCACACACATACACCATCGCCGACTCTAAAATCGCAAGCTCCGCTTCTACTAAGGCAGTGATTTTCATGTGCCTTGTGAGTAATCACGTTATTGAAACTTTCATTTGCTTGACTAGAAGCTGCTACAGAGAATTTTCCAGCATTTGCCGCGTACTTATGATAGAATTCGACTAGTTTTACATATAAACCTTCATCCGTAAGCTCTATAGTATGTTTCTCCTTATATTTACACCAAGACCCACAATTTTCATGACGTCCATACAAATGATCTGGCATTCGGCGAAGATCCGTAGCTAATCCATCGCTATTGCCTTTATTTTGTGAAACAGCATAGGCGAAGCATTTTTTTATATGGGGCACTACGCCTTTTCTCTTCATTTGACTAAATGTCTCTTGCATGTCATATAATTCTTTACCGAAATTTTTGACCATATGATTCCTATCAGCTAATTTGTGAAAAGAAATATGTGGATTATCTTTTCTAATAGCGGCAATCATAGAGCTATCCTCGTCATCAATTATTACTCGCACTTGCAATTTAGCTTCTTTCAAAATATTGCTATGATTGATCAATTGCACTCCTGCATCCGCTTCCATGGCTTTCGCGCTCCCAATATAATTGAGTCGACAATCATGATCATTTTTGTCGTGCCCTAATTCGCACATCTTACATTTCTTATTTCTAGTGGTGTAATCCAAAATTTTGCCAGTCAAAAATCCAATAATTGCACTGTAGCCGTTGAGGCTGTCATAGCTACGCCCGTTACCTCGTTTAGTCCAACCTGTGTCGTATGAGACAATAATATTAACAATTTCACCTAATGTCGAATCAAATACTGGATTTGTAGATCCATTTGTCGTATTGTTCGACTCAAGAACTTGTAGATGAGGATATATATCTCTAGCCACATGTTCAGGTCTGAAAAAATAATAAAACAACAAAAGGATTCATTTGTGATCTTGTTTTCCATATTTTTTATTTATTATTTTTGACAGTGATTCATGTTATTATATTAAAGTTACAATCAATGCCTGACATGGTTTTTAATATAAAAAATTTCATTTATAGAAATACACAGTTTGTATCAAAATATTGCACGGTAAATTTATTTTTATAGTCTACATTAATAAAAAAATATGTACCACAACATGTATATAATTGAGTGTTCAAAAAGATCAATAAAAATAAAACAAAAAAGTTGACAGTAAGTTGATTTGAAATACTGACAATATTGGAACTATTAACAAAAAAATCAACATTATGTACAATCAGATAAATAATATTTACAAAAATTGATTCGATTCAAATATTTCAAACATTTAAAAATATATAAGAAAATATTGGATAAAACATTAATCGATAGAAGCATATCTTGCTCTATTTTGAAAGCACGTACAATGAATTTGATACAAAATGAAAATCTCTAAAATGCAAATTGATCGTGTACTATAGCTTCTTACAATTCTTTAATCAACTTATGAATATTTGTTATAACTAATTTTCGTTCTTCCATTGCAGCTCTTTTGCAACTATCTTTTGCTTCTTCTTCGATAGCTTTCCCAATTAAGTTTTCATAATGCTTATACATATCATTGGATATTGGAGGAATATTCGCACAAGCCAGAATTTTATTTAGTGCTGTCTGACCTGCACCAGAATGCATCGCACCTATAATCATGAGAAATTTTTTTTTACTATTCACAATTTCCAATTGAAAAAGTATGTTTTTTTTGTTTATTTGCACGTTGGACGATAAAATAAATTAGATTTTATAATATACGTACCAAGAACTAATCCTGCATTGACTTCTGAAACTTTCTTTTCGGTAATATGTGCGGTGTTTACTTCAGAGATTACCTTGCAGTCGGCACAAGGAATCGATACTAACGAATGACAGCCAATCAATCGTTCTTTTACTACATTGCTCAAATCCAAGAGTTTAGAACATTGTCTGCATTTTAGATTTTTACCGAGTTCTTTTATATTTACTATGCGTAGACCTTCACAAATATTCGTTTCACTGTTTGGTGATAATGCTTCTTGCATTCGATTTTTTTTAGCTTCTGACATGGCTGCTACAGTTTTTTTCTTGCGTTCAATTTCTTTTTTGGATATAAAAAAACCATTTTTCTTTCGGAATCCTCCCGGCATTTCTATTCGCTTAATAAATTTTGTTGAATATATCACGACGACGATAAAAAAACAACATGTACATAACCTCTCGCAACCACGATTTTGATTTGGATATACACTCACATACACTCAACGATTAAACATATGGGGAGAACACGGCGTTGTTGCCAAGTCGAGCAAATCGTCGCAGAAGACGCTCCTGGTACTTCTGCGCACGAAGCGGCGCTTATTTCATTTATACGGAGCCCGGGGGAATAAGCTGGTCACCTATGATGCTATACGATGAGCACCATTATAGGCAAGAGAACGTCCTTAATATACATGAGGCTAAGGAAATAGGCCTGACTTTATTCAATTTCCCCTTGGGGATAAAGATGACTGGGTAATTGTTCCAATCCTCAGGAAAGGATTGACATTGATAAATGTCGTTATATAAATCTAACAAGACTCTTTGGTAGAATTCGGGTAAATTGACTATAATTTCATATGTAATTTTATCTAAGACAGGAGCAGATTTTATATTGATGCTATTCATGACATATTGGAGCTCATCGTAAGAGAAAGGACTGTCTAAGATTTCAGAGTCAATACATTCACTGCTATCCTCAGTCAGACCATTCAGGTTGTTCAAGGCATTAGAGTTTATACTTTTTGGAGAGCTCAATTCGTTAATTGAATTGATCATATTCAATTCAGTATTGATGTTGCCAGAGTATATATCTATTTCTTTAAAACTATTATTAAATATTTTAACTGTTCTACAGAAATAGCTAGGCTTAGTTCCTGGGTTAACTCTTGCGCAGAAAGAGTTAAACGATTTTTTCTTTTCTTCTTGTAAAGTTTTAGTTACAGTGGCATTAAGCCTTTTGACTTCAATGAATCTTTGCATAGTATATCTATATTTAATGGATTTAAATATAGCTTTTTTCTGTCTTATTACCTTGTCGCATAGGTCATTCCACCAAATACATTTAGAACGCCTCTTGGAGTTATTAGTATTTAATGAAATTTTTGATTTGATTGTATTGAGTTTAGGAGGTAGGGAGTCAACAATTATTCCCTCAAGAAATTCTATGAGTGATTTGTATCTAGACATAACATTTACATTGGTATATTCTATGCTATTGAAGTAGTTTCTATTTTGATCCAGTTTTTTGTAGGAATTTTCCCAGTTCAATTTTTTAACGTTGTATCTGTAATTAACGCGGTGTTGGTATGACAACTTGACATTTAGATCAATTCTAATAGGAAAGTGATCACTACTCCAATCGTCATCTGTGACATATCAATTACTTTTAGGAAAAAGATTAGGTGAACAGAAGGTTAGGTCGATGCATGAGGTTGAATAACCTGAGTGCGACAAGGTATAGTGAGTGGGACTGTTATCATTGAGTAGGATAATAATATCAAAATTTAAACTGTCGGCAATAACGTTGCCATTAGTACAACACCTATTGCTCCCCCGTAGCGGGTGGTGCGCATTTAAATCACCTCTTATGATAAAAAATTTTGAATCGTGATTAATTACCGAATTCATAAATTCATTCCATTCATTTATAGTTAAATTGTTTGAAATGTTTGTTATTTGTTGCGGTCTATATCATGCCGTTATCAATAAATTGTCAGAGTTATCTTTGACTATCACAGAGCCAGTTTCAAGAACCTTACCATAGTAACTAATATCTGTAACTTCATAAAATAGGTTATCTCTTAAACATATGGCTATACCACCACCTTCACCCGATTGTCTATCAAACCTAACTATATTAAAATCTTTTATTTTAAAAGACGTGTTTTGGTTTAACCAAGTTTCGATTAAGATAATTATGTCATACTTATGAGCTTCGTTATGAAAATTAAGTTTATTGCTGACACTACGGCAATTTCACTGTAGAATTTTTAACTGAGAGTTTGTACGATCCATAATGTTAATAAATAAATATAATGATAAATTAAGAATTATCCTAATTAGTTTTCCTAGAAGACCTAGCTTTAGCTGATACAAAAGATTTAGTTGCTTTAGAATCGGCAACATTCTTATTACTATTTGTGTCGTCTTTGTTGTTACTAATCTTAAACCTGTTGAACAGTTCATCCGTCACTTTGGTCGACGGCGGTTGTCGTTGTTTAAGCTGATGTTGCTGACGTTGCTGCTGTTGCTGCTGGAGTTGCTGCTGCTGTTGCTGTTGATGCTGTGGTTGCTGTTGCAATTGTACTTGTATTTGTGGTTGTGGTTGTTGATGCTGATAGGATTGTTGGCATTGTAGTTGTTGTTGAAGTTGCTGTTGGTAAGGTTGTTGTTGCTACTGTAGTTGTTGATAATGGTGTGTCTCTTTTTCACTGTTTGAAAGGTCAATCTCCTAATGTTGAGGGTTGGTGTTTTCATTATTTTTGGCTGAAAAGATTTTTTGGTTTTTGTTTTGAGTTGTTATCATTGGCAACATTCGATGCAGTTCCCTTGGGTCCTTTACAATAGAAACTTGGGTGCTAGAGTTTTTCAAAGTATGAGCAAAAGACTTGTCAGAAATTATTCTCGAATTGTTGGAGAATCTCGGGAAAGATTCCTTTGTGTTTATAGGAGTTTCAGGTGTGCCAAAAACTAATTGTTTAGCCTCATAGTACGACAAGTTTTCGTAAACCATTTTTTCGTTGACAATGGCATGCAACTTGGAAATCCTGCATTCTCTGCTGATAGTCTAATGTGATTCTTTGCAATTGGCACATCTAGGGTAAATATTCTGACAGGATTCATCTGGGTAATCAAGTTCACCGCATATGGAGCAACGGTTTCTTGCCACGGCAATTCTTGGCTATGTGGCCAAACTTGAAGCAATTCAGACATTGCATGACTTTCCTCACGTAGGGAGTTACTTTCGTAACAACGTGGTGGATAGCAATTTCAGCAGGTAACATGTCAGCCTCGAAGCTGACCAAAACCGATGTAGTAGGAATCCACTTATCGCTTTCAGACGTAGGGTGTCTGTTCCTTGCGTTCAAACGAGTAACTTCAATTACTTTGCTTTCACATTTTATTGCACTCTTGAGATCTTCAACGTCATGGTCAATAGGAACTCCCTTGAGGACACCTTTGCGTATTTTTTTAAAACTGGGGATAGAAGCAGTGAGACCGTGGTTACTAAAATTACTATCTGTTAACGATTTATTGGCTTCATCTCTGTTACGAAAAATAATTAGGCCTTTGGATCTGCCATCTCTTTTTACTTCAATAATGGATTTATATCCATCATGATAAACAACTTTGCCAACTTTATAAATGTCAAAAGGTTTATCTGAAGGTGCACTGTACTTAACCCAAACATGAAATGGGCCTTTAACCGAGTCAGAGTAACCTGTCGTTGGATTCGCAGATAAAGGCAAAGGCGAAGGCGGATGCGTATGCGCACTGTTGCCGTTTGGCTTATTTCGCGAGGTGCCAAGAAAATTATTTCCATTTCCACCAGGTATTTTTTTTAGTACTATTAGCGGAAGATTTATTTAAGTCGTCACCATCATCTGGTTGGCGCGATCTTTTCAACGAAAGGGATCTTTCCCAATCCATAGAGGCATTGGCCTCTTCTTGAATAGAATTTTCAACAATCTCGTTGCCGTCTATCTTGAAATGCCGTCCGCCCAGCGGAGCCGGGGTTATACAAGAGATTGGTACTAATAACTGTTTTGCTTTTTCTTAATCACAATTTAATACACAACGAGGTTAAAACAAACAATCGATCAAAAGATTAAATTTAATTCACTTGAATTTGTAAAGGAAAACTCAGTCAGAAAAACTTTTGTACTCCTGCAATTTCGTCCGTCCACTCTAGCCAGCACCTCCAGAGATCATATAGTAGTATATTTCTCTTGCAGGAGTGGCGCCATCGGGCGGTGAGGCTAAGTACTTATCGGACTACCCTCGTAGTTATATAATAAAATATTTAAAAATAATATACATATATGTAAGATAAATAAAAAGTTGTATCTGATTATTAGTTACACATACACTTTCAGATGTGAGATTTCTCCGAAAATTCAAATCTGTGATAAATAACTAATGTTAATATTTGAAATTTACAAGTTGGGCCAAATTTAGGCCTATTTTAGGAATCCGACTCAAAAATTGACTTTTCGATTTGAAAGAATGAAAAAACGGCAAAGAAACTATATAGGTTTTCAAAATTCGAGATTCCATAAATACTAAACGAAAAGTTAAAAAACACAAATTTTACATATTGTAACGGGGTTAATACCGTTTATTTAATTTATGCGCGCGATCGTATCGAAGAGCGCGCGGGATTATCTACTCGTTCAAACATGAAAACCGGAGAGCAGGAAGGAACGAGTGTCAGTCAACCAACTATCTACTAGCATGAAATAAATACGTCGCAAATATTGTTAATATCACAAGCGAGAACGTTTATTGCCTCTTAATGCTACACTGTATTCGGCCCGCGAGTTTATGTTTACATGCCGCGCGCACGACAACAACATGCAGTGTCGGATCGCTCGCCGCTCAATGTTCGCAGAGTTATTACATGCGCCTTTCTTGTCGAGTACGAGAGATTAGTTATAGACAATTCAGTCGCGATGTCGCCGTCAAGCGGTGCGAAAGTGCAACCGCCTGACGCATCATCGCTACATAAGCATTTCAAGTGTCATCCAAATACAAAAGTAGGAGCAGTTGTGTGTTTAGTATGTGGAAATTTCTATCATACGAGTGAAATAGTAGCAAAAATCAATGCAGGAAATGCAATCAAACTAATAAACAGCTCATTCATAATATGCCAGGAGCATCCAAATTTTGCACTAACATCAAACTTGCCATATGGGGACTTCTTAAGTGAACAAGCTAGTGCTTTCATAACACAATTCAAACTTGTAAGTAGAGAACAAATAAAACAGGAAATATTAAATGAGCTTGTGCATGAAAAGCAAATTTTAAATGAAAAAGATGATCATATGGATGTAACACAGATCAATGATTTGGATGAATTACAACAATTAAAAGCCGAAAATAACCTATTGAAAGAACTGTACAAAGAAACAAAAGAAAAAAATGAATTGCTCAATGAACTACTAATTAAAGAAAAACAAAATAAAAATGCAAATACTAACATTATGAGAAAAACATATGCTGAAACAATTGCACTACCAAAACCTAAACCCAAAAGAATACCAAGATTAATAATAAAGAAAAAGAGTAATGATAACATAAACTTAGAAAATCAAGTAGCACATTACTTAATTAAAGACAAAAACATACAAACAAAAAGTGTACAAGTTAAAAATACTGACACAATAATTATCAACTGCATGACCGAAGAAAATGTCACAGTGTTAGAAAAAATTTTACAAAAAAAACTACCGGCACTTACTGTTCTAAAAGAAGAAATACGTAAACCGATAGTTAAAGTAGTAGGAATTTCTAAAGCTTTCACAACAAATGTGAAAGATATAGAAACTGATATTAATGCAAGAAATTTTAGTCAATACGAAGAAAAATGCAAAGTAAATCATGTATTTACAAATGAAAAAAATAAAACAGTAACTGCAATAATAGAAGTTCCATCTATTCTATATAAACATATAAAAAACAATAGTAACAAATTATTTATTGGATGTTAAAACTGCAGAGTCTTTGACGTCATCAACACATATCCGTGTTACAACTGCTCAGGTTTTGGCCACGGCGGCGGAAAGTGTGAAAAAGCAAAAAAAGAGCCAACGTGTTATAAATGTGCTGGCAAGCACCAAGCAAAAATGTGTAGTAGCAGCATACTCCAATGTCCAAACTGCATTTTCCACAATGAAACATATAGTAAAAACTACAACGTAAACCATAGTGCAATCGACAGCGAAATGTGTGAAGTTTTAAAAATGAAAATAAAAAGGTATATTGAAATGACAGATTATCCAATTCAACCAACTCATCAAAGATATTTTGGTAGAATAAACTTTGAAACAAACACCCGCAAGATATATAACCGTCCGAGAATAAATAACAGTTTATCGTTATCATCATTATCTACTCCAAGTCCAACAGGAATACTAAATAGTTTTCTGCAATATTACAATATGGATAACAGCTTATATGATATTATATTTGAAAATGAACATAAAACAGATAATATTGATGATCTAAACGAATATATATGTAAAGAAAATAATATCATTCTTTGTATAAACATCAGAAGCCTAAAAAAAATTACAATAAATTACTAGTATTTCTGAAGAACCTCGAAAAAAAAACCATGTATAATAGTATGCACAGAAACATGGAATTTAGACAATCATGAAATGTTCAATATTCCAGACTATAAAATATATTACAATGAAAGTAAAATAAACAAATGAGATGGAATTGTTTTGTATATGAAAGAAGAAATCACCAAAATTACAGAAATTCTTGAAATAGATAAATTAAAAATAATTAACTCTAATATTACACTAGACTATTACACTAAGACCCTAATCTAGCTACGAACAAATTAATAGAAAAAATTCAAACATGTATTACGGCATCATCTAATAACAATAAACACAATAAGAATAAAATGAACCCAAGGAGTAATTGGATAACTAAAGCAATAATGATATCATGTGCACACAAAGAAAAACTTTATAATAATTGGAAAAAAGATCCCAATAATGCAATAAAAAGAGAAAAATATAAAAACTATGTAGAAACTTTAAAAAAGACCATAGATCTAGCTAAAGAAAAATATGAAAAAAATCAAATCAAAACAAATCAACACAATCCACGAAAACTATGGAAAATAATCAACAACAAAATTGGGAAGAAAACCAAAAAAAAACAATAACATAAATCATCTATTAATAGGTAATGATAAAATTACAAACTCAAACGACATTGCAGAACAAATGAATACATTTTTCAGTACAGTAGGCAAACAGATATGTGATAATATTAGACAACCAATAAATAGTAACATTACTCTACCATCTATGAACAACAACAGTATTTTTCTACATTTAACAAATAGAATAGAAGTTCAATAAACAATAAGAAAAATGGGCAACAAAAATGGAGGATCTGACGGCATCAACACCCAGGTACTAAAGATGATAATAAACCACATAAGTGATCCGTTGACCTATATCTTTAATTTATGCTTACAAAAAGAAATATGGCCTGACGAATTAAAAAGTGCTGAAATTATTCCTATCCACAAAAATAAAGAGAAGTATCTACCAACAAACTATAGACCTATATCTTTAATATCAAATATCGCCAAAATTTTTGAAAAATTAATACAAATCAGGATTACAAGTTTTTTCAACAAACATAATTTATTTTCTAATAAACAATTTGGTTTTAGAAAAGGTCTTAGCACCAAAAATGCCCTATACTACCTAACTAACTCAATATACAATCAACTATTCAAAAGTAAATCAATAGCAGCAACTTTCTTGGATCTAGCGAAAGTTTTTGACACTGTGGACCACAAAATTCTACTCAAAAAACTCTATAGATATGGAATTAGAGGAAGTGCGTATGAACTTATCAAAAGCTATCTAAGTAATAGGAAACAGAGTTATAATTAATGGTGAATATAGTCAATATCAACAAGTCAACATTGGCGTACCACAAGGTACAATATTGGGACCTTTATTTTTCATAATCTATATAAATGATATGTTACAATTGCTACCAAATGATAATGTGTTGGCTTTTGCTGATGACACGGTAATTATCGTGAAAGGCGAAACATAGCATGAAGTCGAAAGTAATATGAACTTCTACTTAAACAAAATATCCATTTGGCTAGCATTGAATAAACTGTCACCAAACATTGACAAAACAGTATACATGGCATTTGGAAATAACTGCAATAGCAACTCAACATATCTACATATAAATATAAAAGGTGCACCCATTCGAAAAGTTGATAACACTAAGTACCTTGGAGTGCATTTCGATAGCCATATGAGATGGGACATGCATACAAACATGCTATACAATAGACTAAAATATCTAACTTATATTTTCTACAAATTATCTAGGATAATGAGCACAGATAATCTACGTATGATTTACTATGCACTTTTCCATAGCATAACAACATACGGTATTATAGCATGGGGTGGAGCATACATTCGAAGACTCAAATATATACAAACTCTACAAACACGACTATTACAAATAATAAATAAAAACAAGTTTATAAATGAAAAAAATCCACTAAACATAGATCAAACATTCACCATGGAATTTCTAGTGTATCACTATGTCAACCTGCAAGATATGTTCCTGAAGAAAAATTCCGTAACAAGGAAAAAAACTATACAGCCCCTTAAAAGAAAATTAACAATCAGCATTAAAGATAGCTATACAAGAGCTTTAGCCACCTTCAATTGTAACGTTTGAGTGTTTTTCGCGTTATGAAAATAAAAGTTCGGACTCTTTACAGTAAATTCGCAATAACGTTTCCGAAAAAAGCAAGAATTTGACACGCGCGTA